CCATTCCTCTGGAAAGGAGCCATGCCAAAGTCGACACTAAGGAGTGTTTGGCAATGCAACAGTAAGGAGCTCCCTCCTGGACCCTGTGGTTGTCTAGGGCCGATTGGGCCCGCTGTCAAGGGCGTCCGGCGGCGCATCATGATCCCTGATGGCGGGTCATGATGGCTTGATGGCTGACTAAAGCGCGATCCGTGATTATGTCCCTTCTCTGGGATATTAGTGTTGTTGCTCATTGCTTTGAGCTTGTGAATTATGAGGGCTTGTCAAGCCCTAGGGCTCTAAGGGTGGTGAGGGCCCGATGGGCCGTATAGGGCCCGTTGGCCCGACCCGAACCCTGACATCACCCCCCCACTAGGCAAAACTCGTCCCGAGTTTTATCGTCCGATTTCCGTATTCAATTCCGATTTGTTGAGAAAAAAAATTTCGTCATTCGCATGTAGATGCCTTCTCGTCGAAGGGCTTAGTCGATTCCTCTCTCGCGTCCAGGCCCCAGTCGCGTCCTCCCAAAGGATGATCAGACATCCTGACGCTCTCCTGGGTCTCCCCCGTTCCCCGTTCCTGGCCGAAGCGGAGGTGGTCGTACACCCCATCCGGTCCAGGCGCTGCGCCTAACCTCCCAGCACTCCTCCCCATCGCCTGTTTCCCCAGGCACGCCCTTGCAAGGGATGATCCGACATCCGGACGCTTCTGAGTCTCCCCCGTATCCCGTTCTTGGTCGCAGAGGAGGCGGTCGTACACCCCATGCGGTCCAAGCGCTACTCCTAACCTCCTAGCACTCCTCCCCTATCGCCTTGTGTCGAGTTGGGCTCGGCGACGGCTCGACGCGTCGTTCTCGGTCACGTGCTTCCAACGTGTGCGTTCCTCCTACTGGGGCGCATGTTCCCCGTCGTCACGTGCTGCGTGTTACGGGCCCGCAATGGCCCGACACCAGCGCCGGAGCGGACGGGCCGGGTCTTATCCGTGACATCGCCCCCTCCCTTGGAACGACTCATCTCGAGTCGGCGTGGCTTGGTCGCCCCGGTTTCTCGGGGTGTTTGGTTGTTCACATTTTCCGAACACTGGCTTCCAATTGCATGCTGAGCACCGGCTGCGCGTTTTTAGACCATTCGTAGCTTCTCCCGTTTGCGTGATGTCAGCCCGGTCCGGTCCAGTGCGTCCGCGCGTTTGCCATGTTCAGTCTCGTTGCCAGTCGAAGCCCAGAGGCGATGGGGTCGTTATGACGACGCCTAGCCATCCCTCTGTCCAGCCTCCAGTTTTGGGGTGTTATTGTCCCCGGTTTTTTGCTGCCAGTGTGCAGCCACCCCTGTTCAGGGGTCATCGTTGTTTTTTCGTATATGCAGATTTGGCCCGTCAGTTCGTCGGGGCCCGTCAGGCCGATTCGGGCCGATGTGGGCCGAATCGGGCCGATTCACGTCATCGATCCCATCATCTTAGTCGTATGAGGGTTTGAACATCAATTCGCACGGTTTTGGGTTTGTCTGGTTGAAGGCCAGCACCTTTGAACGAAATTTCCCACGGTTGGGAAATGGGTCACGTTTTCGGGCACACGGGACGGGTCTCTTGCTAGTGAAAAGAGCCTGGGTCTGCTTCTTCCCCCAGCGCTCCCAGAGTGGTTTTCCACTCTCTTTGGCTGCTATAGAGGTTGGGACGGACTCAACGTTTCCCGTGCCTCAAGCGCCGTTCACCGGAGTGGACGCCCCATGGCAGATAGAAGTTGCGGCCCAGAAGTCGACATCTGGGGGAGCCGATATTCCTTACCTCGGCGCCAGGGTACGAGAATTCGAAAGAAGAGGGTATAGGGAAAGAATTTGCCAAGTAGGGGCGAAAGGAACAAAGGTTTGTGTTCGGACCAACGGGTCATCGGGCCCGTGGATTGACAGGCCAGACTTCGAGTCGGGCCGCGCAAGGTCTCCTAAGAACGCACACCAAGAACAAAACAGACGGATTGTCGGGCCCGCGAGTATGACGAGCGGGGTAGATTTGAACCGAAAGGGCCCGTTAATTCGGTCCCTTGTCGTTGTCGGTGATCGAAGGTTCGAATCGGGTCGTTTCGTCGTTGTTAGGCGCAGAAGGTATTGAAGAACTCCTTAACCGGAGTGAACAAGTGGAGCAGGTTTTGACCTGTTCCCAGGAGTTTTAACGCGAAGGGGCGGACTCCTCAACCCATAAGACGAATGGAGCAAAAGTTGTTGGCTCCCAGGAGTTTCAAGACGAAAGGGATAACTCCTCAACCCATTGGACGAAGTGCCGACACATAGAGTGGTCGTTCAGCACAGAAAGGATGCTCCAAGAACTTGAGCTTTCCAGAGAGCGCCCCACACTTGAAAGAAGGACAGTAAAGGAGGTTTAGCATTCTGTCAGGAACAGGGCCGGCCCGGGCCCACGTGACGGTCTCCTGCCAGTCTGACAAGTGTGGGAAAGATGGTTCAACCCCCATAGCTGGGCGGTCGGCAACCAGGCAGTGTAGATGGTGCCACTGCAATAGGGAGCAGGGTAGGGACAGCTCGGGGCGACTCGAGACGCCCCGCTGCCACGTTGTGTGACAGCGGTGTCACAGGATACGAGTAGTCGTCTAGAGTTTCCTACCCCTGCTGAAGGGAACGAGTCCATAGCCAAAGATCGCTGCCTAGTAGAGTTGGTGCCCAAGACATAGGGCAAGGCATAGGCTGGGCCAGTTGAACAAGCCGTTCGGGCGGGGCGTGACGTACCGCGGTCACGCCCGACGGTTCGGGGGGTCGAGGGGAGTCGCCCCGCAACAGGGGCTGCGGGCCCGAGACCCCTGGAGCGCTTGAGAAGGGTTGCCAGTCCAAGGGGCGACATATCTCCTTTCCTGGAGTAACGAGTCGCTGTGGCTCCTAGACACCGCGTGACATGCGGGCCCGATCGGGCCCGCACCCTCCCATCGCCCCGTACCAGGGGAACCCAGAGCTTGAGGCCAGAGAGCAAGAAGAAGTGGCTAGGACAAGGGTGAACATAAGAGACAAGAGCCTGAGCTGTCCAGCCCAACCAAGGGCTCAGGTCAATGAGGCAAGCGAGCCTGGAGCGTTGGAAGTCGTCTAGACGCCCCTTTCCTGGGGTATGATCGCAGCAACCCCGCTCTAGGGGACCAGGCCGGAGTAGGGTTCAAAGAAAGAGACTTCAATGCTAAACCTAAGGTACAGGAGTAATACTCTAGTCTTTATATACTGTGGGCGCTAGGGGCCGATCGGGCCCGCTGAGGGTCGATCAGAAGGGAGCAGGGGATGTCTCTGGTCGTCCCTGGTCGCTCCGCTAGGAGCCCAGGGACCATTCCTCTGGAAAGGAGCCATGCCAAAGTCGACACTAAGGAGTGTTTGGCAATGCAACAGTAAGGAGCTCCCTCCTGGACCCTGTGGTTGTCTAGGGCCGATTGGGCCCGCTGTCAAGGGCGTCCGGCGGCGCATCATGATCCCTGATGGCGGGTCATGATGGCTTGATGGCTGACTAAAGCGCGATCCGTGATTATGTCCCTTCTCTGGGATATTAGTGTTGTTGCTCATTGCTTTGAGCTTGTGAATTATGAGGGCTTGTCAAGCCCTAGGGCTCTAAGGGTGGTGAGGGCCCGATGGGCCGTATAGGGCCCCGTTGGCCCGACCCGAACCCTGACAGGTGGCATGGACCTTGTGCCTGATTTGGCATCCATATTCATGCTCCTTGAGTATTGATTTGACAGTTTTCCGTGAGACACAAGGCACCATCTACAAGGTCCTGCGTGATTGCCTGTAGGGCCGCATTGACTAGTGGCAGCTAATTCATCCCTCCTTTCACAGCACCAATGAATTGGTTTTGAACTGCCACTGGCAGCTCTCTGGGTCCAGTCTTGGAGGCCATTGGATGGTAGGTGGTGGTTCAAATCCCAGCATATGGTATGACACAATGACAGAAATTCTGGTCACTTTGGCACACATAATCCTCCCCTGCTAGGTGAGCTGCATTTCACTTACCAATGTTCTCTGTTTGGATCATCCCCTGCTAGGACCTTGGACTCCAGGGAGTTGGGACTGGGGTTACCCATACAATTATTATGCCAAATATGTAAAGATACTGGGCTGAATTTGGTGTAACCTCCTGCTTTACATGGAAGTTCTGCATGCTGGTTACTGTCTGTAGGGATGGAAATATTTGAAGATTAACCTTTTTGTGACAGTTTGAGACCAAATAAATCTGCTGTGATGATGAGCATCACAATGAAAACCTCAATACAAGCTTATACAACATCCAATTACAACTGATATCAATAAGAACATCTTAATCTGTTAGCCGTTTCCTGTGGCTCAAACCCCGAACACAAACCGCACAAAATTAGGATTTGATTAGTTGAGTTGAAGGTCCTGGTGATCTCCTTGATTGCTCATTTTCTATGTGTATTAGTGACATGTGACTGACAGAAAATCTTCGGCCAAAAATATCACACTATGTATACTCATAATAATCTGAAATATCATATCATAGTTTCTTATGATATATGATCCTGCTTCCCCAAACATTTATTTCTGTACCTTTGTGTTCAGTATATAGTTCAGTAGCAATATTAATGTAATGCTCATCCACATCCTTCTGTTGGATTGTGTTTAGAGGTGACCTTTCAGAGCACCTCAATGAGACGCTCGCAGGCAGTCGCTGATATTGCGGAGACTTTGACCGGCATGAGATCGTAGCGGAATAGCGTTACGACAGGCTCGGCTACCCCCAAGTCGCGATTTTCGGTAGCAATGAACGCATTGAAGTATGCATATACGTCAACTCGATGGGTTTTGTATGCGTCGTACACGGTTGCGCGGATGAAACGGCGCGCGTCAAAGAGTCAAAGCGGATCGCATGTTCAGCTACATTAGAAGCATTAGTCACTTCCCTATCACGGTGAGGCGAAGAGACCGCGCGGAATCAAGTCCGGTACAATAGACCTTGTGTCCATTTTAAACCGTATAAACGGCCTAAACCGGGTATATTCAACAAAGATATTGACACACCACCGCAGATAATTACACCAAGCTCCACAACAACACGCCCGCACAGGCTCCCGCCGCCATCAATCCAGCGCCAGTCCTGGCCGCAGCATTAGGCTTCGCGTTCGGGTTCGTGCGCGCTGGGGCGGGACCCGTTGCGGTGTTAGACACGGGATTGCCCGAGGGCGAGGGCAGGCCCTTGAAGAGCCCGTCGACTTTGAAGGTGGTGAGGGTGAGTGTGGTGTTCTGCTTGTTGCAGGTGGAGATCAGGCCTGGAGAGTTACGGTTGAGTGTCGTGAAGGAGCATAGGGCATGTGATGGTACGGTAAAGATGAGGGTAGGGTATATAGGCGGCAACACAGACAACGGGGAGGAGATGAAAGCGAGGCAGGTGAAGATGAAAGGGAATTGGAGAGACTAGAAGGATGGAAGAAGGAACGCACTGTCGATGAGCTTCTGTGTATTGGAGTTGGTAGCGTCGACGGTCTGCCCCGCGTCGACAATCGCCTGGCACTCATTGCACGCAGCGAGCTGGTGCAGCAGGCCGTCGTTACAGATCTCATAGGATTGCTGGGCAATGTCAGCGCTTGCACAACTCCGGGGGCGGATGGCACACCTGGGCGACGATGATTTGTTGCGTGCACAACGACCCGCACTGCGTCGAGCGCTGTGCGACACCTACTCTGCTTCAGCCTACGACGACGGAGAAAGAGGTGCAGCTGAACGCACCGGGCTGCAAGAGGAGCGTGGTCGCGGCTACGAAAGCGAGAGAGCGGAAGAGCATCGTCGTTAGAAAAGAAGGGAAGGGAAGGGCAAGGCGGCGACTAGCGACCGTGGAGGGCGAAAAGAAGGAATGACGGACGTGAGAGCCGTTTCACATTGCGATGGCAACGGCGTGTGATCGACAGCGTCACACGTTCGATCAATCTATCAACAAACACACATGTGCAACTCGGCTCGACTCGTGTGTCCGAGTTGCCCAACTCGTTGTCGAGTCGAGTCCAAATTCGGTGTCACACCTACGGTGTTCATTACCCGCCAGGTCAAATTGACATGATGGATTGTCATCGAATCAGTTGGCGGCTGTCCTAGCCGGCCTGGGGTCTTGATGTGACGATGATTGGAGTTCAAGCGGAGTTTAAACTTGATGATATGGGGCATTAATCAGAGAAAAACTAAGGAAAGACAAGCAAAAAGCAGTGATATATTGATTCAAGCTGAGTTATTATGCAAATATGCAGTGTATCTGTCTCGCCGCAGCCAGAAGTCCCCAAAAAATGCCGCTCAGCTGTCGGCAGATTACCATCAGGCGGCAGATCGATTGGCGATCAGTCGGCGCTGCCAACGCAGAGACAGGGAGCTCGTGGCAGGCCGTTGGGCCGCAGCGGATCATTATAGAGAGTGACAGTAGATAAGTGTCCATTGATGACTTCTTCTCGGGTCTGATGTCCGTTGGGAAGGCGGGTTCCATCAAATCTGAAGCACTGAGGCATCACAAGCTGGCTTGCAGCCAATTACTTGCTTATGCCAGGCTGAGGCAAGGGCTTCATTCATGCCCTTGCCATGGCTTTCTGGTAGAACTGCCGACGGTCCGGTCACGCAGTAGTCAGGACCCCGCACACCGCGGGAGCCGAGCTCGAGTAACAGTGATGGACGTCGGCCGATCACGTCAAAATCACCTGGCGGGTCCTGCACACCCTACAAGCTGGCTTGCAGCCAATTACTTGCTTATGCCAGGCTGAGGCAAGGGCCTGCAAGGGCTTCATTCATGCCCTTGCCGTGGCTTTCTGGTAGAACTGCCGACGGTCCGGTCACGCAGTAGTCAGGACCCCGCACACCGCGGGAGCCGAGCTCGAGTAACAGTGATGGACATCGGCCGATCACGTCAAAATCACCTGGCGGGTCCTGCACACCCTACACACCGCACCGACGGCAACACTATTGCGATGGCAACGGCGTGTGATCGACAGCGTCACACGTTCGATCAATCTATCAACAAACACACGGGCTGCTGACGCATCAGGACGACGTTGCTTCTGACGCTCACCATGACCGGCGCTGGCGCTGCATATCGACGCTTGGAACTCCCGGGGAAGGGCCCAGCGATACCCATGTCCCCCAACCGGTATGCTGAAACGTGTCACAGACTCACAGTGTCAGGGTTAACTTTTAAGTAATAGGGTCAGCCGTTCTGAATTGAAATTTAAAGTGCGCAGTGTTCCGCAACGGTCCTTCTTTATCGCTATCGTCGAGCCAAAACTCGGGTTTATACAGTGTATGTCTCCAGCTCTAGGCCTCTGTTTGCGTGGATTGTTACTAACTTGTTAGTCCTTCTCGCCGTTCTCGAGCCTCTCATCTCGGCTCACCAGCCCGCTTTGTCTTAAAGTTGGCTCCGCTGCCCTACAGGTTTTGCTCCAGACTTGCTCCGTGTACCCCCCCTCATTAATTATTAGCTAGCGATACATATATCATCTATTATACGGTACCGGTCATTCCTCTTTCAAGCTCACCGTTCCTTCATCTGCTTTCGAGGTCCTCCGGAGGCATCAACCCATGGATGGAACTCCACCGCCAGCCCGTCTCCGGATTCCTCCAGCACCCGGGGTGCCTCGCGCTCTGGCGCGTGAAGCATATCGGGACGACGACCGGCTGCGGCGCCACACTCTTAAAGCGCATCCCATCAAAAAGCTCCTGCGGTGTCCTGGCGAGCGGGTCCTGCTTCCGCCCTTGCGCTGCCCGATACGCGCACCGTCTTATTCGATATGCCTCTAAATTGGCGGTGGAAACAGGCGGGGAGTTGTACAACACTTCCTGGTGCTCTGCCCGGCGGGTTAGTCAAAATTTGCGGCACAACTGCAACGCAACTCACTGTGCATTTCCCGCGTATTATTGAGCACGACCGGAATGCGCACCGGCGCATCCACCCATATCCACGCGTCCGCGACCATCCACGTCAGGGCCGGCCTGTCTTGGATGCTTCTCCATCCGCGGGTATCTGCTGGCTGTTCAACGAGGTGAGCATGGGTCTGCTAATAGGACGAATCTGACTAACCGTTTTCGCGCAGATGCGCGCCACGGCGACTGTTTCCGCGCTGTAATTCACCGCGACAACAAGACATGGCTTGGGCGCCTTCGCCCGCCGCCCGTCGTACGTCTGGCCAGCCCCGAGCGCCGCGTGCTCAAGCGCACGACTCCGCGTGTTACACCACAGTATCATGCCGGGTTGGAGCTCGTGGATGTCGCGCAGCGGCGGGAACATAACCAAAGAGGAGTGAGTAACTTGAATATTGCTGCTGGCTCCGCAACTTATATAGCACGCCAGCGTAGCAGGGTGCGCAACACAACACGTCGTACAGCGCCTGACTCAGCAGCCGCCAATGAGTCGACAATTTAACTAATCGTAATCCGCTCCATTTGACAGGTTAATTCCGCTGTCAGGGCCTCTGAGCCCGGCACGCACCTCGGCGGCGCTCGTTCAATAGCCGATCCTCGACCTGGCATCACTGTGGGCGCTCGCACCGGAAATCCCGAACTGCCGCGACGGAGTAATCACCCATCATGTCCGCGGGATCGTCACGAACTCGACCCGATCACTGGCAAGTGAGCTTAACCTGCGATTTGCAGCCTGCGACAGCGGCAATGTTAACAGCCTTTTCCGCTCTGGCATTATTCGAGCGCTGAGCGCTCGTCCAGCGCACAGATGAAACAGCGCAGGCCCGGCCGGCCGAGGAAGTTCTGACAATTCCGGTTGGCGACTAAGGTCGAGGTCTGTATCAAGGCCAAATGGCAATTCCTCCCAGCTGACTACCTCATCAGGGCCCAGGGGCATCGGTGGCGGGTAGTGCTGGCCATAAATGGATATCTTTGTATAAATATTGAATATATTCTAAATGTTATGGATATAATATGATGTTAGTGTAGACCTTGAATATTTGTATACTTAAACATAATATAATATATTATGAATACATCAAGGATTTATCTATTTCTGGTTTTAGTGTATTCATAAAACACCCACTGCACTATTTTGACTAATTAATCCTGTCATAGTCACATTGTCACATTTATGCCTGAAATGTCTCTCTCTGAGTCACAGGACACAACAAGTCTCTTTAGTCCCAAAGTGGCCCAAAATGGTAATTTTTAAAATATTCTGCACCTTTGGTGTGCAGACCTACCATATAAGGCAGGAGGCTATATGAAAATTGGTTATTGGCTAGATTGTACATTTCTGCCACAGGTAGCACAGGTTACTGGCCCATAAAATTAAATAAAATATTACCACATTCTCTTACCTCAAGCATACAATGTCTGATGTCTGTCTGCCCAACAAAGATGGTGTCAATTGGTATTATTACTAATGAATGGCTAAAGACCGGTTTAGCAGATAATGTTTACTTCTTAGGCCTTAGGGCCTGCTCGGTGTCCCCAGATTTGATCCCATAGCCAGTCTGGAAACTCAGCTAAATATCGCTGGCCCTCACGCATGAGTAACCCTTTTCTCCCACAGCCAAACAAGTGTCAACCCATCAGACGTGTAGATGATCTCGACTACCGTTGCATTATTTTGTGTAAAATTTGGAATTTACGTGTAATATAGTACTCCTCAGTTGCCAACCATAGACTTTGTCTACAGGTACGATTATTGGGGCGCCAGTGTATAATGCGACTCTGAAAAAGCATCAGTGTGTATTTTTGCATCTTTGCCTGGCCTACACACCATCCACTTCGCCCACTCGGCGTTTCCTCACATGGTCGTCGGCGCGCCGCCAAAAGTCCCGGCCACCGAGAGCACCCTCGCACCAGTCGTCCGCCCACGCGCCGTAGCCCCGCGGGAAGAAGACAAACCCCGGATGGGCCTTGAGCCGCTCGTCGATCGGAGGCGTTATGATGCGGCGGTGGATCGCCACAAACACGCAAAGGGGGACATCGGGATCTGACAGCGCATCGAGCACGCGCTGCCGGGGGCGAGGATTTGGGAACGCGCAATGGCGAGGTGGGTCAGTGCCGGCAGCGCAAGAGCCTGTTGCCAGACTGCCAGGCGCTCATACGCCGCGCCAAAAAGGTGGAGATGTGTGAGACCGGCAAGCGCTGGCTGCGCTACGAGAACGTCGACGAGGAGCGGGTTTTCCAGAGGGAAGAGGCGGGAGAGAGTACCGTAAAGGCGGCGCAACTGCCCCTGCGGGAGAAGGTCCAGAGCGCCGTGGATGAAGGTGTCGGCGGTGATCGTGAGCTCCGTGGTATTCGGACACGCGCTCAGGATCGAGAGCATCTGTTTCTCCGACAGGCTGCCTATCAAGAGGAGACTTTTTGTAGCCTCGCTGATTAGTGTAGGACTGCGGTCGACAATTTTTCGAAAGGCGGGATATGGGGCATGTGCCACGCGGGGCTCTCCAGCGTATGAGATCGTATCACTAGGCGCGCTGACGATCAGTGCGCTATAGAGCAGCGGCTCAACCCTTGTAACACCAGGTAAGCAAGGCCAAGGCACCGAATCCACGTGGCACGCACCACTTTTTTACGCGCCATGCAACCCTCATTAGCAGCACTATGCCTAATGGGTAATCCATCGCTGCCATGCGGAAAACGACATGTTCGAGTTCGGGGGGGAGATTAGGTCTGCTGCCCATTGTAGTGGTGGTTAAGAAGAAAGAAGCACCGCATGAGTCAGCGATTGATGACAGAATGATGTTCCAGTTGATCGCTGATCGATCAAGAGGAGCTGTTCGGTGGCGTCGCTGCCGCGCCGATGTTGCGGACGGCGGGATACGGATCATGTGCCAT